TTTTCTGCATTTTTGAGCTCTTTCGTGATTGTAATTGAAATTGCTTTACATGTAGTTTTCATATTTTGTATAAATTTACCACATCGTACCATATATTATGTATATGGTATGAAATGATACATTTAATTAAATAACTGAATGCAACACTAATAGGTGAAAGATGGCCTCTGATGAAACCAAGCCACGCATAATTGCGCCCATTTTAGCGTAATATGCAGCGCAAAGTCACAAGAATCCTAAGACGCCAGGTCTGAAAGGGTTAAGGCGCGAGGCTTCCCATCCCGACTTCGTAGGCCGAGAAACGGTGAGAGAGAGAGAGAGAACGCAGAGACGTGGTTGCTAGTCGAACTCTAACTCTGTCCGGACTGCGGACGACTGGACTGGACTTCCTCGGCTCGTCTCTCCTCCGCGACCGAACCGAAGACGCGAGGAATGCGGATGTCTCTCGGTTCCCATCGAGGTAACGGAGCGTCTCCTCGCCGACGGTTTCGAGGGAAGTCGTCGACCGATTCGTTTCGCCGTCGAAATACGAAGCCGAAACGAATCGGTCCGACGAGGCGCGATTCGGACGCAGAGGTGCCCTTCCGACGCGAAGGTGCCCTTCCGACGCAGAGGTGCCCTTCCGACGCGAAGGTGCCCTTCCGACGCAGAGGTGCCCTTCCGACGCGAAGGTGAGGAGACGTTCGGGTCGGAGTCGCGACGCACTCCAAAGATTCCGTGAAGCAAGCTACGAAGACCCCACCGAAGTCCTACACCTGTCTGCATTCCACGCGTTTCGATCGAATCTTCCACGATCCGTCGAGACAGATCACGGAAGACTCGATGGGCACGGGAAACTTATTTCTTTATCACGGTTCCGTCTGTCTCTCGGTCGTCGGAAACGTGGACCATCGGTCCTCGTTTCTTATGACATGCGCCAGGTCTATTGTTTTATCCTCGATGGAAAAACTTCCTCCGAACTCGTAAATCGTCTGGACGATCTTGCACCACTCGTATGACGCGTGGCGCTCTCCCGTTCGCGATCGACATTCGTAACTCTGACTCATGATTAATTTATATCATAGGCCTACCATGGAAGAAGCTATATATCTGAATCGTAAGTCATTTTCGGCTCGAGACGTGTCCTGTATGATGATACTCGAGACGAATCGAAAGGAACGGGGATCGGAGGGCGTTCTCGACGTGGAACGAGGGCATCTGTGTACGAGGAAGTGCCAGTACGTACCGTAACGTAATGAGCTCGATGGAAGAGCAATGATATTGGAAATGCGAAAGCGTCACGGGGAAAGGTGGATTCTCTGGAGAAGTGTGCGTCGGGGTGACGGGGACGTCGAGGAACGGGCGGGATGAGGACGTCGAGGAACGGGGGGGATGAGGACGTCGAGGAACGGACGGGATGAGGACGTCGAGGAACGGGCGAGATGGGGATGTGACCGAGCAGGGAACGACGAAGCTTTCACTTCCCTTTCCACGGATGACTGGTGGAAAAATGTGGAACCGGGTCCTTTTATCGGGGGGCGGGGGCGAGGGCGAGGGCGAGGACGAACCTCTTCCTGCGACACATGCGGGGGAGGAACATGGAACACCGAGAAAAGTTTCCTCTACTACGCTGCCGGATCAAATCCCATTTAATCACTGTCACTTCCATCGGGAGGAGGGTAAACGAGATGGCCGAACGAAGCTTCTTCCCGTTCGACTGGCTTTCTTCTGCCGATCGTGATGCCAAGAGGGACTGGCGAAAATCACAATTCTCGCTTCACATCCTTACGACCTACTTTTCCGACCTCTGTTATCGATAGGATATGCAAAGGAAAGACCAACGGCTTTTGATTCGTATATCTCGGTTCTCACTGGAGCCATTTTCACGAAACTTGCACTGCACATACATTGATTTTTTTTCCAACTGATTTTTGCAAATTATATGAAGCGATCGTGCTTAAGTGAAGCTTCGCTCGATCGATCGAAACGAATGAGCGATTCAAAAATGGACGGGGACTCCAATTCCACCCGAGTGCCTTTTTCTCCGACGAAGACGAAGGGAAAACCTGAAAAAGCGGGGGAAACGGCAAATTGTCTCGAATCTCATCGATTCGTATTTCATCGCTCGAAATAAAACTTGCAAGAAAAGCCTCTCTGCAAAAAAAGAGCTGCCTAAAGAATGAATTCGAAAGTCTGATGTATCGATAGCTAGGAAGATACGGAAGGAGCGCGCTTGGACGCCTCCTCCATTCCACTACTCGCAGGAGCTCGCGTCCATTCTCGTCGTTCCACTCGTGAGGCCTTGCCTCGAAGCAATGTGTTTAGGATCCATTCCGAGGATACCTTGGAAACATCCATGACAGACCGCGAACGTTTCGTGGAATCGTCTCCAGGGGGGGGGGGGCGGAGACATCAAGGCTAAGCGTCCTTCGTCTTTTCTGGCCCGTACTGAATACTTTTGCAAGTGTTCTTCGAGCCATTTTAATCGTATTTCTCGTTTGATTGGATTTATTCCTTTTCGATCCGCGTTTAGATGCATTCTTACTCGTTTTCGGCATCGTGTAAGTGAAGAATATCAGCGGAAAAATGGATGATAAGTGATTGCATTCTTGAGAACTGTGAACTGCATCGCGATCGAAGGCATATGTCGGAAATATACATCTGTATTCTCTTTCAAAGGGGAAACACGCCGAAAATGAATAGCAAACCGTCTGGAAAAAAAAAGGTTGCAATAGGGATAACATGGAGAGTTTGGGAATGGATTTTTTTCATCCGGTATTTCTCAGCCTTCGATCATTTACGCTTCGTTTGGCAGAAAAGCTGAGGTCCATCGGGTCCATGGGGGTCCACCGGGTCCATCTCATGCTGCAGCTGCATCCCCGACATTTTACTCACCTACCGACAAATAAATTTTCCCTCGAGAATTTCACTCCATAATGGAAAAAGTTTGAGGAGCACGAAGTGAAGACAGAGGTAGTGTCCATTGGCTTGGCCTACGTCCACCTGCTCCCGAAGCGATATCAAAACAGACATTCTTTCACTTTCTGTATGCAATTTTCCAAATGGAAATCGTCAGTTTCTTGGTGGAATAAATGTCGGTCCGGTCGGTCGGTAGCCCTCACGTGGCCCCCATCGCATGGCAAACGACGAGGAATTGCTACAGGCGTCCTGTCGGATGGGTCCACTCCGATAGCTTCTACGCCTGAACTTCCCAGCGACCGTCCGAGCCTTTCCATCGTTTCGGATGGGAGTCGACGAGGATTAGGTCGAGGGAACTCGACCTAAGACGATGGAAAGGGAGACACGAGGCAAAGCCACGCGATCCATAATGAGCTTTCGTTCCTCTTGCCGTCTACGACTACGTGTAGGCGTATCATAGTCCGAAGACTATTGGAAGATGGAATGGATGACGTGCGGTGACGTATGCGAACCCGATGACCTTAGCCACCCTCAAGGATTTTCCTTTTCCTTCTTTCTCCCCCCTCCTCCCCTCCCCTGGCTTTGCTTCGGCCCTTCTTCGATGCCCCGAGGGATCGGTCGTACCCAGATCTGGCCCTTTAAAAGGGCCAGAAACTCGACGAAAAGCGTGCAGTTCTTCTCCGGTTGTCGAGCCGATCACATCCATTTCTCCAATTTTCTACAAGCGAAAGAGGTGAGTCGTCAGTGTTCATGTTTTGGCTCGATGTTCTTGTGAAATGGGTTCACGCGTGTCGTTACCGAAATTGTAGGTGTGCAACCATGCTTCCCTACGCTCTCCTGTTGACGATCGTGTGTGTGGTATCGGGAGACGAAACGGTATCGGTAGCTGCGGGAGCATCTTCGGCAGCTGGTCCTACGGGATACACCCAACCGGTGCCTCACACATCCCCGACCGGATCGACATACCCCTTCCCCACTGTCGCTCCCGCCGTTCCATCGAAAGGATTCAACATCGGAGGCGGTCTCGGTTTGGGCCCATTGGGTGGCCTTGCCTACAACTTACAAGGGACCGCGGCCAGCAAAAGTTACCTTCTCTCCGGTCTCGAATATCTTATACCCGGAATCAGCGCCTATGGAAATTCTATGAGCAAGCTACTCGACTACGGCAACATTCTCCTCGGTATTGCCTCCGTTGTTCTCTCCATCGTCATTCTCGTCTTGGTCATCAAGGTAATCTCGGTTCGATACAGAGCCCCAGATACTGAACTTTCGTATCTAACAACCTGATTTTGTACTAGGCCGGTGGATACGACGTGTACTTCTTGCCCAGCAAGGATGTCGCACCCAAGGACCGAAAGCGACGAGCCATCGAAGGGAGCGAACCCCACGTTTCCGATTCTCAGTTGGCATCGCTGGCCAAAGTGGTCCTGACTGCTCTCGAAGCTCAAGAATGCCAACAGAGGATGTTCTGCGAAATCGGCTACGTGATGCGGGACTACGGCGCTGAGCGTGGGCTCGTCATGAATCTCCTGGAGCGATTCTCTCCCAAGTCCATGTCCGAATTGGTGAAGAAGCTGAAGGCTGCTGCTCTCGGCAAGGAAGAATGCACCATTTACAAATGCGGCTCGCTGCCCTCCAAAGAGAAATAACACTCGCGCTCTAATATCCTCGTGACCCAAGTGTGATTCATATATCTCATCCTACTTTTAACTTGACCAAAGAAAGTATCTATATTATGCACCCGATGACGGAGGGATGGCTGGAATAAAATATGGAAGCCCGTCTGAATTGCTCAGTTTTCTTCCCGGAAGGTGTATCCTAGCACTTACACTGCGAATTCCTTCAATTAACAGGAGCATCCTCAACCTTGCCCACTGTGAAAAAGGGCATCTTTCTCCCTTAAAACTCGTTCCATACCCTCATGATTCAATGTGTAGTCAACACTTTTCGACTTTACATAGGAACGAGTTGAATCGTGATCCTACGCTGAGTCCCTTTTATAAATTCCATCCACATCTTCAATGCGCCTAAGTCTGTGGGGGAAACTATTATGGGACGATGTTCCATCAGCTTCCAGAATGTTCAACCTTGACTTCAAGATAAGGTACTACAATTTGTTGACGAGGTCTCTCCAATCGATCGAATTTTGCCTTAGAAGCCGCATTTGACGCATAGCAAATCGTCCTTGTATGAGTCATTTAACAATTAGTAATTCAAGCTACATATCACTATTAATCTGTGTTAATCCGCGTAATAGCAAATTAACTTTACCGATAAGCATCAAGTTCAATATTGCACTCCTCCAACGCTCTAACATCCTAATTCGATTATATTTTTGAACTTTAAGAAAACTTTTGAAGTTGCCTTTTCACTCGACTTTAACCTGAGAGCAATAGAAACTCGGCCCATCTTCGATGAGATTCCCCAAGATGAATAAAGGAAGAATGTGCATTCTTCCTGCCACTAGTGACTTAACGCTCCTCATGTTCACACGGCAACAAAGGTTCATCTCATTCGGAGGCAGCTTCGGAGGGAAAGAGTCCTGGATCGAAACAGTCCCTTGGAGTGTACGACGATGAAGGACCCCGAAGCAGACTTAAACTCTAGCAGAGCCACATCTTGGATACCTGTGCCCAAGTGCAGATGAAAATACGAAGAAAGCCCGTTGTGGAGCACTTACGATTCGACTCGTAAGTGAGGCTCTTCGATTCTTGGCCACAGGCTCCATCGACTTCATGCTTGGCAATGGCCAACGTCTTAGTTGAGTTAACGTAAAAATAAAGTTAAAGTAAAGATGAAGAAAGTCCGAGCAAAGTTACAGAAGATTCGTGAAAAGGCCCAGAGCTCATTCATGACTTGTTTCGAGCTCTGAAACTCTGAGCGAGTTCTTCGAGGACTCGGGTTTGTCCAACCACGATGGCCTCGTCTCGGGATCTTGTGGCACTTCGCTCGATGCGTGCATTCGGCCGTTTCATTTCTGCACTCGCACATCGGATCGAGCGTTTCGGTAGAGAAAGAAAGCTTCCAGAAATCGACGGTATCGTTCGATCGTGCTTGGAGTCGGCAATGCTCGCCCGGTAAGAATACGATATTGCCTCGGGCGAGTAGGGACGAGGCAGGAGAGACTCACGACCGAATGAGACAGATCTCGGCAATCGACATTTTTTGGAGATCCCAGAAGCTTCACGGACGGCTTCGTGACCCAAAGAGAGCCTGCGGCCGAGTCCTAACCGTCACGTTCCTCACAGATACGGCGAAACATTCGCGTCTCGACGAGCACTTCACCACAACGTATCATCACTGGGTTCAAAATCCCTCACTTTCCTCTCGTACAATGCATGCTTCACTTTTCCATCCCTCAAAACGGGCAACCATTGTCTAACAACAGTTGGAAAAAACACCACTCAAGTAACACAGGTGTTCAGGCCATATATTCAAAGAAAACACATGCTATTAGTACAGCCAACTCTCCAGTATCTCTTTCTCTCCCCAGAACAAAACTTCCCATCAGCATGGAATAATAATCATTTGGAACTTGTTTTACATTAGTATTTGCTCTTAGAATGGAAACACTGACCGTCACAAAAGAATTCAAAGTAACCGAAGACATTTGCAGTTATTAAATCGTTCTAAAGCAGTAATTTAATCGGTATGAAAAAGAAAATTCAAATATCACACATTGTGACAACTTTATCTACATGGGCTACATTTTCGCTCAGCGAAGTATTTCGTTCATTATAAACTTAACGATATAGCTTCTTCCACCTTGTATCATGAACAAAGCACTATGAACATCTAATGGAGGCATTACAAATATTTTTAAATTCAAACCAAAATGTGGCTTACTTCCTCAAAAATAATCATAAGTACTGACTACTTGTTATGCCCAGTTGGTAAAGTGAGAGTTAAACGGATATGGGTTTCATAATTGGTTGCTATGAAATCTCTTACCTAACTTAATCTGATTCCGATGGAGGCAATAGTGAAATTGAGTCTCCTGCGTGTCACCTTTTTTTTTTATCCATCTACTAATTGCGTACGAGGACCTAACAAAAAGTTCTTACAATTTTTTTTTGTTGCCAGGGCACTCAAGCCCTTCCACTCCCAAGTGACATGGTCCCCATGGATATCCTGGTAAAAAGGAAAAAGGAAAGAAATAATAAAACTCATTGACGAGTCCTCGTACTTAGCGACCTACATTTACCGACACGTCTTAACATTTTACATCTGCACACTATATACCGATGATATATGTATTATATAAACGAACGAGACGATCATTCGTTCGAGTAGAACGTTTCACGACGGTCTCAGGCGAATCCCTGGGTGCTACTCGCGAGAAAGTAATTAATGAATTCCCCATGGAATCGTGGGAGGCAATCCATGTGATGTGCCATTCTCGATCGTCTCTGAGCGCTTCCTCCGATTGTCCTCGGAACCGACTCGAACCGACTCCTTCTGCGTCACACCCCGGCGTCTCCTCCCAACTCTGCTGAACCCTCTTGCTTTTTTTCATTTTATTTTGGCTCTTCGTAAATCGCGACTTCGACGCTTCGAAACGAATCGGTATAATGGATGTCTGAGAGTTCCAAAAAATTTGCATCAGAAAAGAATCTTCCGTGAGATGAAGAGACTAGTACTCGTGATCTCGGCCGAAGGCGAGAAACACATTTTTCGTTTCTTCCTTTTATAGAGCCAGAGATGCGCAGTGAGGAGGATATTCCAATCTAATCGTCTGTCAATTGTGATTCTCACATGTTCCTTTCGTCGAGGATCCACCATGACAACTAGATTCCTCTACTTAAGTGCTTCCCGTGCTATTCCCGGAAGAGAACGAAAGTCATACGACAGGATCAGATTTCGACGAAATGGTCACCTTCCTTCTTTTTTGGATCATTGTGATAATGAAGTTTTTTATATGTTCTGTGTCTTCGGTGAGTATTCGCTAGGACTATTTCCCATAATGGCAAATTTCGAGAGAATCAGATGCGTTTTCGGACGACAACCGTGCGGGATCGGAGAGGACGAGGAAAGCTTTCGTAATGATGATTTCATTTTCTCAGGAAAATGGTTCCGGATGTCAACCGAGCAGATTCTGGAATTTTCTGGGAAAAAAAAAACTCATTGAAATCCATCGGAGCAGCAAAACGGCAAGCATTCTGTCACCCCCTCCGATATTTACGAGCTGGTGATATCGAATGACGAGTGAACCTTGCAGGCAATGATGGACCGCAGTGTGCCTTCAGAGGACCCGCGGAGGAGTTCCTGGAAAGCTGCGTGGCGCCAACTGTGAAGCATCCACCGTACGCCACGGTCTGGGGTCCTAATAGTTTGACGGGGTGAGCAGGTTGCACATCGTAGAGGGTACAATTAACGGATACCAGTACCTGCATATGCTAACAGACCCCTCCCTCTCCTACGAATCGGTAACCAAACGAGAAAATCGTATTCGTGCACGACGGTGCTCCCTGCCACAAGGTTGTATCTGTTACAAAGTTATTATGGAAAAAATGGAAATTTTCAAGTGGCCAAGGAACGCCCAACCCAGCAAACGTAGGTATGTTAGTGCAACGTTGGAAATACATCGTTGGAGTGTAACGATGTTCTTCCGTGAAAGTTCTTCCGTAACATAGGTAGGTTTATTTGCCTCGATTCGGCTCGTCATCATCGTCATTTATAAAACATTTATATAACAATAAAGTTAGAGATGAATGATGGAAAAAGTAAAAACCGTCATCACTTAAGTTGTCACGACGTAAGAAAGTGAGATCCTCTCAGACATCTCAGGATAAAGCTATTTCTAAATAAAGAAATTCGGATTCTCGGGAAAACCAGTCTCTTTCTTGTTTCGGGTCCAGTGAGACGGTGGAACGATGTGCACGCTGATGGCAAGGGATGCATGAAAACCTCTTGAATTTTCTCATATAGCTGGATTTTTTTGCCCGAGAGATGAATTTTCTTTAAAATTCTTCCTTCACTTGTTCGGTATCCTGGCCACCTGGCCGATGCGCTTCAGAATTCGCATAATGTGTAAGGAATTTTTCTTCGAGAGATATGCAGCCTTAGATGGGTAGGGCGTAATGCAGGCAGGACAAACATCTATGAATGGATACAAACGTCTATGAAGTGGCGGACGAAGGAAGTTGAATGCGGAATGGAGCGAGTTACATTCATGGCCAGATAGATCCAACATTTCTGGAACATCTGTTCGGTCTGATTCCTGAAGCACGATTCATTGTCGATGTAAATTCCGAGGAGCTCGACCGAGTGAGAAGACCGTCCCATCGACACGAACTTGTCGATTCTTCAATCCTACCAGGTGTTTTTTTTTAAAACCCTTTTTTGAAAACAGCAGCGCTTGCCACTCGTCTGGGTTTAGGATGAGGTTCTGAGCTTTCGACCATCGCGCTCGGTGCTCGATGTCTTCTTCATAGTTGTAGATGGCCTCCTCGCTCTCGATGGCACTGAGAACTGCGTCATCGGCATGTTTGACAATACGCGAAATGGGATTCACAACTCGAAGGGAGTCGGTGTAGTAAGTAAAGAGGAACGGCGACAACACACAGCCCTGCAATACACCAGTTGGAGATGCAATGATGTTTCATACTTTCCCATTCATGAGAACAAACGACTATTCTCGGATAAGTAACCGGTGATCGACCGCAGAAGTCATTGTGGTATCCTCATTTCCTTAATGCGAATCAGAAGTTTTTGCCGATCGATGCAGTCGAACGCTGAGCTATAGTCTGGAAATAAGCTGCGTGCTATTCGCTGAGGCTCGTTCGATT